GAAGAACATTCAGCGATGATAGAGCACTTGAAAAAGCCCCACCAGGTTTTGTTTTTTCTTCTTCCTTTTCACTTTCAACTTCCATTTCTTCTTCACCATGTTCGCTGTTTGCAGTCCCATCTTCTTGACCTATGTCCTTTATCTGTCCTGTCTTTTCTAGTGGTGGCTCAACTGTTAAGACAATAAAGCCTACATTTGACTTTTTGGTAAAGGTCACTTGGAGGCATTTTTTTTAAAGGACTAACATTCTAGGATTCTTAAAATCAAGTGAAAGCAAATTTCTCCATGGGATTACATTCAACTTCCATAAGCTTCAGCTGTATCACTGTGATTTTTAGATAACACTTGTACTCATGGGTTGTAGGTTTCACTCTACCCAAGTAAGTGGTAGAGGAAAACATATCAAGATACTTTACCAATGATTTTCCTGATAACCAACAGCAGAATTACAACAAAACCGAAATCTCAGGCTCTACCTACAAGTTCTAGAAGACCATGTACTGTTAAAAGGTCCTTCTGCTCCAATACTTTCATCTTGTCATCTTGATCACCAACTCTGCTCTAAGGTCAAACTGTGAAACGCACAACTGTTGAGTAATTTACTTAATAACAAAAACCATCACATCTCACTCCCTCATTTTTTCCTTTCTGACAAGCTGCTTTGCAAGGACATCCTGTCAAATAAGCACTAGAAGTAGTGCTGAACTAATAATAGGAAGAAAAGAAATGGATCTGACATAAATAGTGCTGAAACATAAACTACTGAAGTCTACTGAGAGTTGTAAAGGCAGCTATCTGAGAAATTTCATCCTTCAGCATTCATTTCTACTGACAGAGATTCAAAGATCTCTATCAGCATCAGAATAGCATTTGTGAGGTTCAACTGAATTCATTCAACATATACTCTAGTAATAATACTAAATCCTATAGAAAGACAGACAACTCATCCTGAAAACACATGATCTGTATTTACAATTCTTAATCTTTGCCATTAGAGAAGTTACTGTTAATTTTGCATTTACCATCTGTTGGAGAATTGACCTCTGTTCTAACTTTTGATTTTTCAAGATCTTCCTTGTATTCTTTCTTCAGCTGTTTTACAATCTTTTTGCTGTAACTTGATTTCTTCACTTTGAAAACTTCTTCAGTTTCTTTAAAAGAAAGTTGAAAAACACCACGTCAGATCTGCCAAGAAGTACAGTTAGCTATTATACCTCCTTTGCACGTAGATCTCAAGAAGCACACTAGGAACATAATTTCACGTGATTGCACATTTGCACTACTGTAACAACAAGAGCCGCGTATCCTTTCACAAACACTCTTGTCTTCCTTGTTTCCTTAGGGGTCATTCACAGCACAGTCACAGAAACGCAAGGCAGAAGCTGAAGTATACAAACGTGACCTGCTTTTTATCTGTATTCACTGCTGTTTCAATTTTAATTTTAATTTTTTAAGCAGCGGATTCTTCATTGTGATCACAGATTAGAAGAAAATGAGAAGCCTCAGCATTTTGCGTTAACGCTCTCTTCATAGCCACACTTAGGCCAGTATGACTAATGAGTAAGGGAATGACTGGTTTTTGCTGCACCGACAGCTTGAATGCCTGCAGAGCTACAACCTATTGAAAGGTATGCAGCAAGTTTGAAAAAAAAAAAAAAAAACAACACAAAAACAACATGCAGAAATTCAAAGTTGGATGCAGGAAATCCAACAGCTTTTTCTTAAGTAAATACTCTAACACTGCGTTTTCAGTATTTGACAGGTTTTCAAACCTGCAGTTCAGAGACCAGAGAGAGTTCTTCGAAACAAAATATCAAAAGACACATTAACTCTCCTCTAGCAGAAGATCACAAGACCTCTTAACACAAAGCAAGTCTGATCAAACCTGAACTTCTGGGATGCAATGGACTCAGTGGCTTGAAGAGTGCTTTTTTCATCACTGTTTTTAATGTGTAACAACTATTGCCCATCAGTAGATTAGGACGTGCACAGGCACAGTACCTGTGGCAGGATTACTGCCAGAGCACTGAACAAATACAGCTATGCTATAAATCAAAGTACAGAAAATGTTCAGTCACTTTTCCAACTACTTATGAAGGACAATCTAGTAATCTGTGAGGAAATAACTACAACAAAATACCCATTTCACCCAGAGTCTACTCATAGAACGGGTGATCTGACACATCCACAGAATCACAAAATGGCCAGGGTTGGAAAGGGACCCCAAGGATCATGAATCTCCAACCCCCCTGCCACAGGCAGGGCCACCAACCTCCCTATATGATACTAGACCAGGCTGCCCAGGGCTCCATCCAATCTGCCCTTGAGCACCTCCAGGGATGGGGCATCCACAGCCTCTCCGGGCAGCCTGTGCCAGCTCCTCATCACTCTCATAGTAAAGAACTTCCCCTTGACATCCACGCGGGATGAAAGCAAACTTGATGCAGAAGGACAGCAAACACCACCCTCCATCAGCACCACAGGCCCGGCGGGACCGAACAGGTTGGGTCCAGCGCCTGGAACCATGCAAATCCAGGTCCGGCTACTCCGGACACGAGTGCAGCCAGGAGCTGGAGTCGGTGACGCCCGTGGATCCCTTCCAAGTCGGGGTGCTGTGATAGTAGCTCACCCCGCTAAACCATAGCGAAACCAAGGAGCACATCCCGGTGCCGCCGACGGGGCGCTCCCTGCCAGCACATCCCTGTCGCCAGGAAGGCTGGCCGCAGCCCCTCACAGCCCACGTTCCTCGGCCACTCCACTGCCTTAAGATAACAGAACCACGGCGCAAATTCAGCCCCGCCACCGCCGCCTCACCCTCCTCCTCGTCCTGGAAGCTGAGCAGGCTGGCGCGGGGCACCTCTTTGTTCTCCCGAGCCCGCTTCTTCTCTTTAGGCCGCCCTGTGGCCGGCAGCCCGTTGCCCTGCGGCGGCGGAGGCGGCGGGGGGGGCAGCAGGGAGGGCGCCGGCAGCGACCCTAGCCCAGCCCGGTCGCCTCCCATCAGGCCCAGCCCCAGGCCGAGGGCTGCACCGTAGCCCGCGGCGCATGCGAAGGCGGCGGGGCTGCCGGGCAGGGCGAGGGGCACGCAGCCGGGCGGCAGAGGCAGCAGCCCGGTGCCCGCAGCCGCCAGGGCCACGGCGGAGGCCTCGGCAGGCCCTTCTCCTCCGGCCCCAGAAGCCGGCGCCGGCTCCTGAGGCGGCTCCTCATCGCGCTCTTCGTCCTCCTCTTCCGAGTCGTTCCGCTTCCGCACGTTCACTCTCCGCGCCTTGCGGAACATCCCGCCGGGCGCCGACCCCCCGCGCCGCGCAGCGCCGGCACCGGCACCACCCACTTCTGCCGCCCCGCGCCGCGGCCCAGGCCCGGCTCGCCGAGCATGATGGCCGCCGCTCCGCGGCCCACAGCGCCCCCTGTCGGCTGCCGCCCGCCGCCTCCCCCCCGGCAACAGACAGAAACCTCCCGACCATAGAGAGGCGGCGAAACGAGGGTAGAGAGTACCCAGCAGGGAGCGTAGAGAGCAGGGACTAGAGCGACTCGACACGCCGCGTGCCTCTCCCTCCTCCCCTTCTTCCCAATGGGACCGCCTCTGCCGCCATCTTGTGTCGGGAAAGCGGCGCGCGGTAGACGGGGGAGGGGCGGGCAGGGCGCGCGGGCCCTTTGAACTTGCGGCCCGTGTGTCACTGGCCTTCTTGAAAACTCCTTCCAGGTGTAAGTGCTGGAACCTGGGGAGGCCTCTTCATCCTTCCAGGCTCTGAGCAACCTGATGTAGCTGTAGGTGTCCCTGTTCACTGCAGGGGAGTTGGACCAGGTGGCCTTGAAAGATCCCTTCTAACTCAAATGATCTATGACCAAGTAGCCTCCATCTTGCAGCCCCTCTTCTACATGGGAGGAGACACAGAAGGCTTGGCCAGCGTCCCACAGCCTCTAAAAAAGGCTCAATTTCTATTCATTGGCATAGCCTATAATCATACACCAAGACTGAAAACTGCCAAACCAGGTTGGACTAAATACATAGAGAATGGAAGCACTGTGTGTAAATATTAGTTACTATAAACATGTGATGAAACACCATAAAATGATGATGCGAAGTTTGGGGTGTGATTGAACAGTCTTACACTAATTGTAATGAATTCACTAAATCTAGGGCCCTCACACAGGAAAAATGCGGAGCTTTTGGAGCAGGTCCTGATCAGAGGGCTGGAGCTCATCTCTTATGAAGGAAGGCTGAGGGAGCTGGGCTTGTTCAACCTGAAGAGGAAAAGTCTCCAGTGCAACCTTGCTGTAGCCTTACAGTGCCCAAAGGGAGCTTATCAGCAGAAGCAAGGCCAACATTTTGCACTGTCTGATGATAGGACAAGTGGGATTGGCTTTAAACTGAAAGAGGGGAGATTTAAGTTAGATGTTAGGTAGTGGTGAGAAACATCACAGGCTGACCAGAAAGGCTGTGGGTGTCCCATCCCTGGAAGCACTCAAGGCCAGGTTGAATGGGGCCCTGGGCTGCCTGAGCTGGTGGCGGGCAGCACTGTTGACATCAGGGGTTGGAACCAGATGATCTTTATGGTTCCTTCTAACCTAAGCCAGTCTATAATTCTATGAAATTATGTAATTATTTCTGCGTTGTGATACTTAATGTACCACTGCAGTTTGTCCAGATGCAGAGAAAAGAAACCTCTGCCAACAGAATTAATAAAGCTCACATTGTATGCGTTATGTACTTTGCTTTGTATTTAGCTCTTTGAATTGCTATGAAGAAATTCTGCAAGCTTCTGAAATAGTGCTTTTGTATGGCAAAACCAAATCAAATGTAAATTGGGAGAATCAGATTCTTGGTATCTCTTGAAGAAAAATGTATGAACTGCAAAGATGAATGCAATATTGGTGCTGTGGATTTCTGCCAATCATGTAACTGAAAGTAGGATTTTCCCTGACTCCTTGAAGATTTCTGCAGTGTTTACTTGTACACAGGAATATGATGTCTTTTATTCGATCATTATTCAGAACACAGCTGTGGCAAGAGTGATCAAAACTTTAATTTACAGCATTAAAAAGCACACAGATCTATTAATGTGATTTCTTCCCAAGAAAGCCAGAATACACATGTCCTCAGTTTCTGCTCTGTGTGTGGATTTCAAACAGTAACCTCAGCAATCATTGCTGCCCTGGCAATATAGTATTGTGTTACTGTGTTATTCAGCACATTTTTTACTAGAGGGCAGCAGAGCATCAGTGAATTAACTGAAAAAGATTTAGGCTTGATTTTTAAGAGAGGATTAATAACATTTAGAAATCAATATATTATGTGTATTTTTTAACAAGAGTATCCTGTGCAGAGTTAATGATCAGTCAGTTTGTGAAGGCAATGTTAGTAGTTTTGCACAGCCAGGATGATTTATATTCCTCTATAATCCATACCAGGCAAGTACATGCTCAGAACAACACCCCTGCTCCTAACCTCTGTCACCTCAGCTTCAGCTCCTAACCATGTTGGAACTTGTGACAAAACCATAGAGTGTTTACAAGTAATATTTTTCATCTGTGGAAAAAAACTTTCAATTTGTTTTCAAGATGCTAATAAATGACAAAAGTCTGTACAACAGCTGATTGAATAGCTCTCTGAGTTAAATGGAGTTCACTGCTCAGCCCATAAACACCAGTGTCTTTAAATCTGTTAATTTACAATTGCAAATCGACCTGATTCTCCTAATAGCTATTACACTGTTGATTTCAGTGGCAAAGCCTGTAGTAATGAAGTGTATGTAAAAAAAAAAATTGAGTTTTGTTACCTAGCAAAACTGCTCCATCATTGATTATAATTATGGGCAAGGCTTAAAGTTACTGAAAAAAATTCATTGGTTCCTCAGAATCTTAATAACTGTTCCCCTCAGAACATGTATTTTATCCCAGATTAAAAGAAAAAAAAAAAAAAAAAACCAAAAAATGTAATCCTTTGCTGGCATTGCAATTCTGTTTGGACTTTATTATGCTATACACATTGATTCCAGCCTTAATTGCATCTCACAGAATGTGAATCCTGCAGACATGGGCAAGGAGTAGACTTTTGGCTATTGACACTGTCCTGATGTTTTTCAGGGAATGGCAATCTCTCCCACAGTGCAGCTAATACCTGTTGCCTGAAGCTTTGCCTTACTTATCAGATGAGTCACAGGATGGTTTATTTGCTCCTTTTCTTAGAGAGGAGAGTTTACCATCAGCACAAAAGATGAAATCAACTTTGCTGTATTTGGGGAAAGGAGCCATCTATGGGAAAAAACACACCTTTATAATCATGGCATTTTGCAGGGTGACCTCTTGCCCACCTTTTCCCACAATGAATGGAAAACAAGAGTACCCTGCTACATAACTGGGCACCCTCCATCACATACTGAAAATCCACAGATTGCTGGCCATCTCACAAATGCACCATTGGTTATGCTGAGGTGGGAAGCAGACTGCAAAGCTGCCTTTGCTGTCCTAAGAGGCTCTGTCACCCAGGCTGAGCATGGGGATCCCAGCCCTGACAACTCAGTGGAGGGCAAGGAAAACCAGCACTCTCAGTTTTTCTCTGGTAACTTGTAACCACCTCAAATCATAGAATCATAGAATCTTAGAATCACAGAATGGCTTGGGTTGGAAGGGATCTCAAGGATCATCAAGCTCCAACTCCCCTACCATAGGCAGGGCCACCCACATCCGCATTTAATTCCAGAGCAGGCTGCCCAGGTCCCCATCCAGTCTGGCCTTGAACACCTCCAGGGATGGGTATTGAACACACACCTGGGCAGTCTGTTTCAAATGCCTCAAACCTCACAGCACAGGGGTGAGGCCAGTAAATATAGGCAAGGGATTACTCCCCCTGTGTGCAGAGTACTACTGGCAGTTTTGGCCTCCCTCATTGGAAGAAAAGTACTGATCAACCAGAGTGTGCCCAGTGGAGAGTGACCAAGATTGTCAGGGAACAGAGAGTGTGTTCAAGTCTTAGCTTACAATATAAAAGATTTGTAGTGATGCTTTTACCTTGTTTCATGTGTTTTTTGTTCTTTAAGGAGGCATTTACTGAGTTAGTCAGATGAATCTGTATTACTTCAAACGCCTCCTTGTAGAGTACACAGTCAAAACTTTTCATCTCATAATGGTTCCTTCTGGCCAAACCAAACAGAGTCCCATCTCTCTTTCAGCAGTTTGCCATGCCTTTGGCTTACTGTGCTAGAGAACTCAGTAAATGAATGTTACAACATAACTTTTGTTATCTGAGTTTGAGAAAACATTGGAGTACAGCAGGTTGTGAAAGTGCTCTGTGATACTAGAGACATTTTCCACACTGTATGACTTCAGCAAAGAATATCCATTGAAAAGAGAGGTATCCAGGAAAGAAATGTACACTAACATTTGCCTGTCTTTGTTGTGCATTGTGAGTAGATCTTCTTTTTCATTCTTGCTGCTACTGTAGATGGTTACGCTCTGCTCTGGAAATTGTCCCTTGACCTTATTTTTTACCCGGAGCTTTCTCAGTCCCCAGATGGTCAAGTATTCTGTTGGTAGAGGAGTAGTGCCACAAAAGGAGAGCTTCAAATCCCACACCATTGTGAAGTTGAGGAGCATCTCCAGCCCAGAGGTGTCTGTGAACCAAATTGTCAGGTCGCTATTGTAGTCAGTTTTTTCCATGGTAGAAGGCAGCACTGTTCTGCAATTGCACAACAGGTTTGCCAAGCTGTAGTCACAGTCACGGATATCTGCCAAGCAACTGCAGTTGCGAATATTGCTTTCCTTGGTGAAAATTAGTGTATGGTTCTTCTGACTTCCCATAAAACTGTCAGTAATGCATATGCCAAGGAAGCCAGCCAAAAAGAGAGCTAGCCAAAAACAGAAAGTAGAGAAGGCTGTTAGCTTCATTGGTACTGGTGCCAAAATGCCACGTGTCTTCTCCTTTTACACAGTGGATTTTATCGCTTGTCTTTACCTACTGAAAGAAAACAATTTCTTTAGTATACTGAAGATGCTTAACTGTTAACACTGCTTTGCTCTTCTCATTTATTATCAGAAGCACTGCTGGATGCAGCATGTATCCTTCAGACCCATACGGAGCCAACTTGTTTCCATAAAACTTGCTTTTTGTCCATATAAAGCTACATCATTTTCAACATTAACCTTAAGTTTTGAGATGCAAGGACCATCTCTCACCATCTCTGCATGGCAACCAGTATAGGACAGATTCTGATTGCTCTGGCTCCCTTCATTTACCCTGGTAAAACAAACTAGCACCTGCAGGAATGCCATGGAGCATTGAGCAATTTTTCATCCCAACCAAGGTCCACCTCAAGTGGTTGGGGGCAGGACTGGTGAGACTTCTCAGCAACAAGCTCTTGGGTTTTCAGAGCAGCGTTGGATCTTAGCAAATACATTTGGCATATTATTGAATGATGGTACAAGCAGAGGTGAAAAATGGTATTTCTCAACAAAAAATTACAAAATGTTACAAAGTTTGATTTGTCTGTAACTGCTTTGAACTACCAAGAAACGGTAGACCCAAATTTTGACTAAAGGCAGCAGGTTCCAGTGAGGGCAACAGTAGGGCATGCAGTGGAATGAATTTTGGTCCTTAGAATGTGTGAAGATTGCTCCATGTCCAGAATGTGTGTCCAGCACTTCAGACGACATGGCAATGCAACTACAATTATGGAAAACATACCAGATAAATAGGAAAATAATAGTATTTGCAATAAAAATATGAATTGTTTTGTTTCTAATATCCAGTCTCCCATCATTAGGCAATGAAGTCTTCTGCTAAAACTTAATGGTAATTTAACAGAAAATAAAGGGAAAAATTGCAATTTAGATTTGAATGCTTTAAGCTGCTGAAAATTCAACTGAGGTCATTCTTTTAATGATACTACACAAAATACATACATAATTGCATTTTGACCATATAATTTGTGTCCTACTTTCCACATTTTTCATTTATAGAGGATGTATCAACAGGAAATCATGATTTGGAAATGGCCAGAACTTTGGCATCTATAGGAAAAAGAAGAAAAAGGAACATGCACATGTAGGAAAAAAAATGGCAATAAGGAATAACAGACTTTGGGCTGGACATTACCAGCTGATCCTCTATGGAACTGAGATCTTTAGTTTGTGATAGACAGCTGCATGAAAAAAAGCAGCAACTAAAAAATGATTAGATTTCTAAGTAGTAGTAGGTAAGTATAGGGAAAAAAGACAATATGGTTGATCTTCTGCATAAGTCTTTTGCTCACACTTGCCTGTTGTATGCAGTTCAGATCCCACTACTTCAGAAAGGATGCCACATGCCTGGAGTTGGAGAAGAGCAACAAGGACAATGAGATATAGAAGGGTTTCCCTTTAAGTAGGGTGGAACTAGGTAAGATAGGACTCTAGCCAGGAAAAGAGGTGGCTGGTAAACTGCAACAGCACAAATAACGTGGGAATAGTGTGTAGAGATCAATTGTTCTTTGACTTTTCGAGACACTAAGAGTGAGACATCTCCCAGACACACTAGGAGGTGGCTACATGGCTAGGCAGATTTTTGGTCTGACAGATTATGGCCCTCTTGTGCATTCTTATATATTCTTATGTAGTGTAAACGTAAGCAAACTGACTCAAACATGATTTCATTCCGTATGTACTCCTTGAATGTAGCACATTGTTTTCTTAAAAGAAGGATACAGACATTTTAATGTTGAAATAAAATATTTAACGCACATTCCTCAGACTTATTGCGGAACATACCAGAAATACCAATCCAACTGTTAGCTAACGTTTAACTTCAAAGGTCAGACACATCCAAGCTGTGACTGTTCTGATATCCTTATTGCCAGATGAATTTGATACCCAGCATCTAAGCCTCTAAGCATAGAATGTGTGGAAAATCCTATTTACTAAACCTTCACACTGTGTTTGCTCAACTCTTCAGCTATGGCTCACAGTTAGGATAAAATAAATCACAGACACTTTCACATGTCAATAAAATTATTGGGATTTATCTATTTCAGAGAAAGCATTTGCCAGGAGAAAACCCAGACAAAGTTAACAGCATGAGTGCAAATTAAGCAAACATAATTTTAACTGAAGACTCAGAAATTAAAATGACAATACATTTTCACACTAGAAATGACTGAACTTGTTCATTAAGCAATTGCAGAGAGGTATGTGATAAACACACTTTGATTAAAACTCACAGTGGCTCTGTAGCCTAAGAGTAGCATGCGCTATAGGACTTCTGTGCTGCTGCTGGAAGTTTGTTTTAAACTTTATAGTAGCGAAGTCTAGAGCTGTGCAAGGCTGCAAGATAACCTCCAGCAGCAGAGGTAACACTGTGGCTTCTTTTTTTAGTCCAATGCAGCAAAGAGGCAGTGTCCAAACTGACCGTGGTTTATTCAAAGTAACTTATGCATTGGAAGTACTGATTTAACAGCATCTCAAACAACCATGTTTCCAATGAAGGGTAGGTGGGGCACCATAACAAGCCCTTCACCCAACTGCACTGTTCCTTTTTTGAAGCTAGCTTTATACAGTCAGCTGACAATTAGACAGCGTTCTAAAATTATGTGCTGTAATTGTAATGTTTTTGTAATGTCTTTTATCAGTGGCTGGTCATCTGTTATAGCTGCCACCTCCAACAAATCCACACATCTTGGTGAATTGGATAACATAATTCCTGCTTTCCTTCTTTTCCCATCCTTACATGGTCTTGTTTGGGAAATACAATTAGAAGTGGAAGAAAAATAGGCAAATAACACAGCAGGTAAACAGCTACCAAGTCGTATTACCCAAACTTGCCATCTGGAGTGGCAGATAGATAAGCACGTAGTGTTTGAGAACGAAGTGAAAAATTAAATCAGCATGTGAGAAAAACTGAAGTTAATAAAAAACTGCCTCAAGTATCACTTAGACCGCAAGGCCCCCGAGGTCCTTCTTTATGCCTGTTTTTTCTCCTAAACGTTCACCCAGCTTCATTAAGCAGTGGCAGAGTATCATCACCCCATTAGAATTCCTGGTGCTTGGTCCAGTTCTCTTCCAAACAGCTGACAATGTTTCTGCCTGTTCCTCCAATTCTGCCAATGTAACCTGCCTATTCCTGCATTAAAACACCTCAAAAATGTTTTGAAGTGTAGATTTTGTCTGGAAGAGAGCTCAAAGCCCACACCGCCCCAACCCCTGCTGTGGGCAGGGCTGCCCCCCACCAGCTCAGCTGCCCAGGGCCCCATTCAACCTGGCCTCAAGTGCCTCCAGGGATGGGGCACCACAGCTTCTCTGGGCAGCTGTGCCAGCTCCTCACCACCCAGAAGTGGTTTTCTGAATTCCACAGCCAGCTACCATCCTGTTTTCCTCTTAAACTCATCTAGAAAAGTATACAATGCCCCTACCTCTGAGCACAGCCTCAGCCGAAGCACGTGGAAGGCACAGCAGTCTGTAAGTTCAGTAATGCAAAGACTGGAAGAAAATGAGGCCTGGCACATGCAGTATGTCCCCCATCCTGGGAAGGAAGTTCTTCTCCCAAGCTGGGGTCTTTGCTTAGTGGCAAACATAAGCCATGATGGTTTTAGGAAAGTGTCACATGCTGGAGATAGCAGCAACCTGATTCTGAAGAAAAATGTCATCAAATGATCTGAACTCAGCTGGTCATCTGTTCATTTTTGCCCTGAGCAGGGGGCCTTTTAAGTGAAAATTGGATTAGACACAGATACTGGAAGAAAACAGTTCTGGTGTGACTGCTTGAACTGTGAATACTGTTACTTGTATATCATCTTTCCAGCACCAAAACCCCATTTCATAGCACCTTATCCCCAAAATTTCCTGGCACAAGTTTCCACCCCCACCTTTTTCTTTACAGGTTCAGATAGCTACAGGACATTTCCAACACCTGCTTAGTAATAATGTCATTTCAGGTTTCTCAATTTGCTTTGATCATTCCAGTAATTTATAAGTTTATTTTATTTTATCTTATTTTATTGCTAATTGCAGATCCTGTGTATGAAGAAAAACTGCAAAAAAGCAATAAAAAGCCTGTGACTGTTGTGTGAGAATGCTACTGTCTCAAGGAAAGTTAATCCTATTCAATGGGAGTCCCCAGCCTATACAATTAATTTCTTCATGGGGTGCTTTCTTCCATTCTCTATTCAGAAAAAAAACTAATTAAAACCCTTCATTGATCACTTGTGTTAGCATGTGCCTGTGTGAAAGTGCTGTATTAAGCAAAGAGGAGCTTAAATCCATATAATCTTGTGCAGCTTGGGCAACGTACACAGAATGAATACCAAAACCACCCAATTTAGACCAAAATAACATGAAAGACTGGATAAAGCCCAAAGCATTTAGAAGGAGAGCAGTGAGGACTGCCTCTCTGTTTTCCTGTTTGCATGCAGGTATGAGAGGGCCATGTAGAATACGCTGCATTTCACAGCTCAGGTGGCACTGAGGAGGTGGGTAGAGCAGCAGCAGTAAGAGCTGACATCCTGCACACTTCTGGACTGCAGCATGAACCATGCTTGTTGCTCCTTACTTGAACATGGTTTCTTCTTGTACCTGTACAGCAAAAGCCTGAGCTGCTGTCACTGGGCTGAACAGCCATTGATGTCATGGAGGTGCTGTCACACGTAGGGGAACAAATTCCTTCCTAGCTGTGATAGAAATGCAAGATAAATCAGGCAGTTCTACTGCATTGAACCTGAACAATGCATGAACCCTCAGACATCTTGAGCAGCTGTATGTGTCCCTGCTTCAGTATTAGTCTGGAATAGTTTAATTCAGGAAGTCACAGAATTGTTTCAGATGGGAAACCTTAAAGGCCATCTGGTCCAAGTCCCCTGCAATGATCAGGGACACCCACAGTTCCATCAGGTGCTCAGAGCCCCATCCAGCCTGATCTTGAGTGTCTCCAGGGATGGAGCATCCAAACCAACTCCTGACTTTGTGCTAAGGAGAAACACGGCGTGCATGGATATGTGTTAAAGTGTGAAAATATCTTACTTCTATTTTAATCAATATCATTACTTTCCGATATCTTCCTGGTTCTGTTACTGAATGACCCATCCTTTTTCCATTCATCAGGCTGATTGTATTTGTTTTTGTTTAAGAGAAGCATCAACAAATACAGTTTCTTTCAGTACTGCAGCTGATTCAGAATGTGTTAAGTACATGCAAGCTACAATGTTAGGGCTTTTGAGCTTAGCATGATCTTCTCATGGCCTTCAAAAAGCATGTACCCACATACATAAAGAATAGACTTGTGTAGTCTTCCCAACAGAATTTTCATAAAACTAGTAATGCTTTGTTTATTCCTCTTTCTGCTGAAGGGCACACCATTGGGGAATCAGGGGCCACTCTGTCTGAACACCACGGAACCAAGATGAATAATTCAACATCAAAGTGCTGACAGTAATTTTAAAACCACTTTTTAAAATTCTCTGGTTTTTGTGTCAAATCGATGCCTTTTTAGAGCAGAGGCATTCACACTGCGTGAACTTTAGGAAAGAACATTTGATGGCAAATTTTTGGTTGTATCATTTCTAAGCTCCATTTCTAACCTGACTGGCACGGAAGTTCAAGTTAAGCATTACACTAAGTTAGAGATTTACCAAACCCAAAGAGTTATGCTTAATTCGTTAGTGCAAATGGTATACAAAGTGTATTCTAACAATCGAGTTTCTTCTGTTCAAATCTCAGACTAAAAAAAAAAGATGCAAGCAAGCAAAGTCACACGTTAGAAAGACGCAAAGAAGATGGCCATGAAGAGGATGGAGGCTGGAGTCCAGAAGCAGGGTTACCTGGTGCTGGGTGTCTCAGCTCCCACTCACAGGTTGGGACAGAGCATGGTGTCACTGCCAGCAGACTGCAGAGCCACAGAGTGATGGCGTGCTTGTTGTGCTTTGTACTCCCTGCATCACCAGCCTGACTTGTAAATTAAACAGCAGAATAAAGCACAGGTTCCAGCTGCTCTTCCCCTGACCGTCCTCTGCCAGTGCCTTTCTCAAGACAGTTTTTTAACAGAACACAATGGGAATAATTGACAGCAAAGCTCTGCTGCGTTTGGTGAACGGTTTTCCTAAAGAAGCGTTTGCAAGAGGGAGCAAAACCTTTCCACAGTTCTTTCAGTTTATTATTCATACAGCTATTAATTATTAACTCAGACATATGAGTATAAACAATTGCAACACATCCAAGACAAACTTTGCATAACCTGTTATTTCCCTGTGATTACGAAGCAACAAATCTGAAACATACCTTCCAGGAAGAGAACATTGGTGACGAGGAAATAATTGTGCTGTGGGAGAAACTGCCTGAGACATGAATAAACAAGCTATTAAGCATTCTCCAGCTATTTACCACCCCCTGCTTAGGACAGCACAAAAGCAGCAACTCACTCTTTCTCCTGGTGCCGGTGGAGCATCCGTTCCTGCACCGCAGCCCTTCTGGAGGTGGCGATGTGTGGCACTGAGGTTAATCTGCAGGGCAGGCGGGATGCGGCTCTCCCACTCACTGCTCTCATGTTGCATGGGGCTGGCAGCCCATAGCATTCCCCTGACAAGCAGGAGAGAGCTCCAAGGTCTGCCCATTTCACTATTACCACAGCAGGTCCCTACCTGACTTTGCCACCTCCGCTCCTATGCTGCTCCCACATCAAGGGGATTGGCCCCGAGGGACGTGCCCTCCCCTGCCTGCTTTCCTGAAGCTGCTTTTATAGGTTTAGAACAGAAAAATGTCTGTCCTCCAGAGCCCCAGGTCCTGCTTCAGAGGCTGTTTGCCCAGTGTGCAGGAGTAAATGGGTGTTACTGATCATAAAGAAACGCATCAAGAGGATCCTAAAAGGGTATGAGACAACATACTCTGACAAGACTCCAGGGAGATCTCATCACAACCTTAAAATACTTGAAGAAGAAGGAGGGGACTGACTTTTTTTGTGGTCTGATAGTAACAGAACAAGGGGGAATGGCTTCAAACTAAAAGAGGGGAGATTTATGTAAGATATGAGGAAGAAATCCTTTTCTCAGAGGGTGGTGAGGTGCTGGCACAGCTGCCTAGAGAAGCTGTGGTGCCCCATCTCTGGAGGTGCTCAAGGCCAGGTTGGATGGAGCCCTGGGCAGCCTGAGCTGGGGGGGGGGGGCAGCCCTGCCCACAGCAGGGGTTGGGGCGGTGTGGGTTTTGAGGACCCTTCCAAACCAAACCGTTCTGTGATTCTGTTGTTCTATGATTCTTCTTCTCTTATTGCTAAGTCATGTCCCCAAAAAACAGATTCTGCAACATGCTTGGCACTCCCATTCATGCCATTTTGGCTCTCACAGTACTGCAGGGCTGGACTCTAAACCTGTATTTGTTTCAGAGCCAGGCTGAGAGATAGGTATCAGCCTTGCCTGGGTTCAGCTCTCTTTTACACACTCGCAAGTGAGCCAAATGCCTTTTGTCCAGAAATGTTCCTACTCATTTCCAGAATCTCTCGATACGTCATCACGGATGATGGTAATGTGTTCCCAGCTGTGTACAAAGTGGACTGGTACAGGAGCACTTACATAAGATAACTGATAATTTTTGCCATTTGTCTTTGAAGGAAGGTAAATACACCTGTTAGCTCTTCTGCATATGCTTGTACATACACACACCTTCCTGAGCCAAAGGACTCCTCTGAGTTTCACCATTCCTCCAGGGAGAACGTGAATGCCTGACACTGGGGTGTTCTTTCCCATAACCCTGGGCATTATTTTCCAATGAATGTGAAGGGAATTCCTATAATGTATCAAGAAAGTCTACAGCCTCAGGTTGATAAAAATAAACAGCAATTCTGTAAAAGGCTCAGTAACACACTGGGTTATAGACGAGAGCATGCATCCTTCACTATGGGATAGCATAGCATTCCATATGATGACATAGAGAAACAACAAACAGGTGCATTACATGTATACATTACAGCAGTGTTAAAACCATAAGAAAACGAAAACCGAACATGATTCACAATGATAAATCAATGCTTGCTTCTAAGTTAACCCCTAAGGTTGGTGCAGCATCACCTTCAAAGTGAATGGGGTATTTTGTCCTGTTGCCAGCAGATAAACATTTCTAAACAAACAAGCACCCAGACTTCCATGCTTGGCAGCAATCAGTGTTCATCTGAACCCACCAGACAAGAACCGTGTGCCCATAAGTAGTGGTGACTTTCAACAGTCTGCAGAGGGGTGTGCTGTTGAGTAGGGCGGTTGTTTTTATCATGGAGATGGTTGTCCACTGACTGCTGAAACGAAAACCTCTGGCTGATGGCACCATTCAGGTACTTGGTGACTGTGTCTGATATACGGTCCTCTCCTGTCTTGTCCTGTCCTCTCTGCACACGGCCAAGCAGCGCTGTAGTGCAGTGGAAAGAGAAGGGACAAAAGGCAGGTTTCCTTCTGGATTTCAGCCTGTAGCTGGCCTGACTTAGATGGATAACAAGTTACAGTGACTAAAGATGCACTGGTATGAGATCACCTGCACTTTCAACATTGCAGTGGAATGGAGTGTCTCCAGAGAAAGGCAATGAAGGCGAGAAGGATCTGGAGCACAAGTCTGATGGGGAGCGGCTGAGAGAACTGGAGTTGTTCACATTGGAGAAGAGGAGGCTCAGGAGAGACGTCATCGCTCTCTATAGCCACCTGACTGGAGGTTGTGGCGAGGTGGGATCGGCTTCTTCTCACGAGTACCAGCCATAGGAGAGGTGACGCCCCCCAGTTGCCCAGGGGAGGTTCGGGTTATGGCAGCAGAGGGCGCTCTCGGCCCGGCGCTGCGGGCTCGCTCCGAGCCGCAGGCAGAGCTGCGGGGCGGGGGGAGGACGCTGTGACCGGGCTGTGCCTCAGAGCCCGGAATCGCCCTCCGGAGATCCTGGTTCGAGGAGGATTCTGCGTCGACCTGAATGTAAAGGCGGGATTTCTGCTAGAGGGGCGATGGAAGGACCTTATGCCTTGTTGAGGAATACAAAGCAGCAGGTGCTTAAGGCTCAGTGGTTCCAGTGGCAGTTAAGAAGTTGGCTGGGGCAAGAGGGAGGCATTCCGGTGCAATTTTGACCATGTGGCCACCTGTACAAACTTCCAGGTTTTGAGGCTTTGTTTATCTTTTCTTTCTGAATTTTCCTAAAGTGCTGCGAGTTCACCTCTGAAGTAACCAACCTCATTCCTGACAGTCTTTTCTGTACATTGCTGTTTTGAAATGGAACACTGCAAATGGCTGTGCCTTTTACTGAAGAGCGGTCCATAACCATCTTTACCTGTAGATGCAGCACAGTTGACTCGAGCATGATGTAGGGTTTATGTAGTGCATTATTCCCTTTGTGTCGCACTTTCCTCGGTTCACTCAAGGTAAGAGTGGCATTTAGATAGTGTGTATGTGGAAAAAGTTTACTGCGAGAGTGGCAGAGCACTGGAACAGGCTGCTCGGAGATGTGTCTGTCTCTGGAGATATTCAAGACCCACCTGGATGCTTTCCTGTGCAACCTGCTGTAGGGAACTGCTTTAGTGGGGATTGGACTCGATGGTCTCCAGAGGTCCTTTCCAAGTCCTGTGATTCCATGGTTTATTTCTTGCTGAAGATGCAGCCTGTTTCCTACTTCAATTACTCCTAGTTGGAACCCCCTGACTAACTGATTTTCCCATACTCACTGGCCATGCCAAAGCAAGGCACCACCCTGTGACAAGGACAGCTCCTTGCTCAACAGAGGGGAAGAAATATTAGAACAAAGTTTTTAATATCTCGGTCTAGTCAATCAGTTTGTTCAAATGCTCAGGGCTCTACATCAGATGAGGCTGTCTGAATCCAATACCGGAAAAGCTTCCACCCAAATCTTGTCCTTCTGTGCAAAGCAAAGGATTTTCGTTAACTTGGTGCATTCAGGCTTTAAAAGAGCACACAGAGGAAAGAAGCACACAATGGGTAGAGAAGCAGCACTTCTGATCTGTGTCTGCTCCTACCACGTATGCATCAGCGTTGCAGATCCACCCAGGACAAAAAATTGAGGAGCTGGTAGATCATCGGAAAGTAGGAAGCTTTTCTTACTCACAGGATCTCACTGATGCACTTTATTTCTGGAAGACATAGGGCATCAGCTGGCTGATACTTCACAGCAACTCGTTTTCTAGAAGTAAGAGACCGCAGTAGGCAAATATAAACATTTTACAGGCACTGTACAGGACTGTATTAACTCCCAGTTGCAATCTGTGGAGAGTAAAATCACTAAAAAGCTATTAAAAAATCCTAGAAACTGAACATCATGCTGTCTGTGCTACAGTTAGTGGAGTCGAATACACCTAACTCACAAGGCTGTTGCTACTCCAACGTGTTATCAGTTCTTTGAACTACCCCTTCATATAGCCTTCATCAGCTTCGTTACTAATACAACAACTTCTCCATTTCATTCTTTCTAATCTGATTATGTCTTTTTTTTTTTTTTAACCTAACATGGTATCCAAATTTGATAATTATCTCAAATTGTTTCCAGAAATATTGACATAAACCTTCTTAAGTTGGTTTGTATTATTTTAAGTTGTCGCCTTTCGAGAGGCAGCAGTCCCTCATACTTTTACTTGGCAAGTTGTTTAAAGCCTAAGTGACTCCATTAGCTTAAATCTATTGTCCAGATCATTATTTTGCTATCAGAGAATATACTGGCCCTACGCACACCTGAAATTCTTTCTCTGAAATTGTGACAAATCTGTGTAACTTTATATTTTGATGCCTGCAGACTGTGAGAGTTCTTATGGTTTGAGAACAGCGTGGGCCACATTTTTCCCTTGTCTTATCCTT